GAATCAAATATCAAAATAAATGAATTTAGAATTTAAAATTTTTTTAATATTAAAAAATTGAAAAAGAAACAATTTTGTCACCTACAAAAATCTTATAACTGATATTTGACACCGTTTTACCTGTCCGATTGACCTAAAATTTTGCACACTTGTGTGAAGTCGGAGGCAATGCATGAATAAATTGACCATAAATATTTTGAAAAAATTATATAATAAAAAACTTATATACTAAAAAATTGAAAATCTAATTATTTTTAATATACGAAAAGAAAATGAGAAATTTATTGTACATCTGCAACATTGGAGACACTGGATTCTTTAGAAGTGTTGTCTTTAAAAAGTAATTTTTAAACGTATATTATGATTTCTAATTGTCTCAAATCTTCTCGAATAAACAAAAGCACTAAACTCAGGAGTCTAGTTACAGAGCCTTAATTCTAATGTGTAAATCGCCTGGTTGTGATCCAAGCAGTTGTGACCCTGGTTCTAATGTATATAATGGCTCAAGTCCGGCAATGTTTGAGTGTTTTACTTTATTCCTCTCTCATTGTAGCACCAAAAAGTACTCCTTTAGTGTGTGAATAAAAAATTAAATCGAAAATATTAAGTCTTCTGACGTAAAATTAAGTTAAAGGTGAACGACTGTTCAGAGGCATCTTAATTTTAGCTCATTATTAAATGTGTATGTACGCACTTTATGTGATTAATACACTAATAATATCCTTATAACGATATAATATAACGATACGATATAATATAACGATACGATATAATATAACTAATATAACTTACTAACGATATAACGATATAATATAACTATAATTATAAGATAATGAATTTCTCTTCACATTAATTATTAAGGTACATAAATCTGATATGGGGTAATAACAGGAAAAGTTATTGTTCTTCGTCCTGTGGAGATCAAATCCGCAGTAGACAGATGAAAAGAATATCTAGCCGAGCGACGACGATGTTATCACTATTCCCTGTCTGCTGATGCGGAGGAGTAATGGAAAATAATGATGGTTTTGTTTATCCTCAATCCAGGTAGCACAAGGGAACAACCAATGAAGAAATATTATTGAAGTGAAGAGCAACAGACGTGTGTGTGCCGTACGTCTTGAGGAAGACACTGGTATACGTGAAGTTATTTACTCCAGAATAATATTGAATCATCGTGAATACTACCGGATACTTTCGAATACTGTTATTGAGTCAGTTACACACGAGGGATTTCAAGTATCTACATGAATTCACGAGAAAAATAATGTAACGAGAATGAAACTCAGCATAAATACAAATATTCTCGTAGCCTCAAATGTTGCGACATTAATCAATGAGAATCTCTGAAAATTGGTCATCGTGGTCCAGCTCGAGCCGTATTATCAAAAATCGTAACGTTTTGTACTTCCGAGAAAAAAGTTACGTGTTACGTAAGTACACCCTAATTTTGGCATTATCAAAACATTCGTACGTAAGAATTAGCTAAAAGCGTACTTTCAAAACCATCCAACTGACCAACTGACCAATCTGTATTCTGGGCTCGCATCTACTGCGTACTGTAATTGAGGAAATTACCATAATGGTTACATAAGTCGATAAGTTAATTTGAAGGCTGCGGAGCCCGAAGTTAAGGAACGTGTGTGAGATATTAAGTAACATACGTAGGAGCGATTTGCTTCAAGAAAAATTATACCCGCTTTCTTCCATGCAACTTGAAGTACTGCATGATTAAATAGGGATTTTTAAAAATATACATTTTATATATAGAGAGAGAGACGTTTCCTATCGTCTCATATTCTTTAAAGTTGGGTGAATCGGAGTGATCTACTCCACCAAATTTACGTTACGTTCAGGTTCCAGATACCGGTATTCATTACTTATCGTTTTGTCAGGTAGTCTGCCGAGTGGTATTTGTATATTAATAATAAAGATAATAATAATAATAATAATAAAAATAATAATAATAAGAATAATAATAATAATAGTAATAATAATAATAATGATAATAATAATAATAATAGCGGTTTCAGTATTTAGAAGGCCGTAGGCCTGTCGACGATTCCTAACATCGCAGAACATTCATAGCATTTTGCGGTCTCGAACTCGCAACTCACTGCTACAATTCTGCTGTGCTTAACCGCCCGGCCTCCTTGCCGATACTGACCAGAAACTGGCGCACAGAGCTGGGATCGAACCCGCGCCTCTCTGCGCCAATCTTGGTACGAACTTTAACCAATGGGCCACCCTGCCCGAATGTTAGTTTATTATCCTGAGTTTGACTCTCTTCACATTATTTGTATCATGAATTTATGTACCTAATAGAATATTTCATAAGCCAACGCTATGTTTACCTATATTTCCTAGAAATCAAGAACTTCGCGCTCACATGTCTCTGGATTCCTTGCATTCAAACGTTTTCCGATTTATGTTTCCAATTCAAACGTTTTCATCCACACGAGCTGCTTGAAGCCATTGTAGCGGATCTCACTACATAAAACTAAATTACGCATATCATACCTCGCTACATAGAACTAATTTTATGTAAATCATATCTCGCTACGTAGAACTAATTTTTATGTTTCTCATACTAAAATTGATATGAATACTCGTAACAGTACTTTTATTACATTACTTTCACTTATCGTATTAATAAGTAGAAAATCATCGTAAGAATAGTTCAGAGAAATCTCTCTCCCGCCGTGGCAACAGCCGACGTCTCCTTTCCTTTATAGCTTCTCTAAGTCTTAATGGTCTATTTGCCTTCTGACTTCGAGCGGACAACATCTCGCGTAAGCTCTCAAACTTATAAACTCTGCCGTAGAATAGCACTCATTCAATGTGTTAAGTGTAAGAGTAAAGTTAGTTCAGAAGTCGGAGTTATTGCAAGTTGAGTAATTAAATTAACGTATTTTTTATGAACATAGCTCACGTGGCTTTTGCTCATTTGTGAAATGGTGTCGTGAAATGTGAATAGTGTATTAACATTGCCTTATTTCGCAGTATCACAACATCGGCTAACATTCGGCAACCCAGCACCGGCAACCTACAGCCTCTTTCCTGCAACGCAAGACAACATGCAACTGGCGTCAATCCACAACCCGCACCCTGCGCCCTGCAGCCGGGAACCTCGGCGTCCCAAGCCAGCATTTTCCCGCCAAGCACGCCGCCATCATGTCGCGCTCCTACGCCGTTCCTGTGTGCAGACGCTTCTCCGCGAATATTCAGTTAACTCATTCAGGCAATTCATTCAGTTAACTTATATTCAGTGAACACTTGCTGTGAACTTATTCAGTTAACTCATTCAGTTAACTTATATTCAGTGAACACTTTCGCTAGACATACTCTGTGAGTTGCATCAACGCACGTTCAGTGAAATTTCGTGTGAACTCTCAACGCGCACGGTCAGTTAACTTCGTCAACCTCACAACGTGCATCGCATAACGTCCACAACGTCTCACCACGCAACCACGCGTAAATCTGCTCACCACGCAACCACGGTGACCCGTCGACCTGCACCTTCTGCCTGGGCTACCAATTCCTCCTGCATCATCACATCGAGCAGGTCACGTGAGCTAAGCCAATAAATCAACTAATCAATTAATTGTGTGTTTGCTTTAACCAACCTAATTCGTCCTGCCGATCACTATGTTTCTGTCTGTCTTTAGTGAATAATTTAAGTTAGCTACCTAGGCCGTTCAAATTCTCTGATTCATTGGAGTTAAACGCAGTTAATGTGGAGTGGTAAGTCATAAACCCCCACACCATTATGTTCTTAAAGAAACAATGAACAAAGTCAAAAGATTTTTAAATTCACGATGATTGCAGTTCCGTCATCTAAAGCACTGTTCGAGCACACAGAATGAGGTAATATTTAGTTCGTATGAAATCAATCATGAGCTTTCATTCAACTTCACCACACGCATTGGTGCGTGAATGAGACACATTTCCCATATGTGCTGATTGAAAATTAAACTAAACAATCATAGAAGACTGATGAGATTGATTAACTACGTCCTGTATCTGCTACGTGATCTGAGTACTATCTAAAAATGATGTTTCTGGAGTCCTGCTGAAAGTTTTTTGAAAATGCTGTGAAACCGCACGGCAACTCAACTGGTGTGATGACAGGCTCTAACTGGCCATCAAGTTAGCTTGCATTCGCATGGATTTCAATTTTATATTAGGAATTACCTGGTGGGCCTCGTTCTCTCCGTACATAATTATGCAACAGGAAAAAGATATATAACTACTATTTTGTCCGAGACGCCTCATCATCTCGTCTCATTTTGGTATTGATTGTATCAGACAATAGTTGAAAAATTTCCATATGTTCATCTCTAATTGTGTAAAGTTTCTTGTCTCGTCTCTTCTCGGCTGGAATAAACAAAGGGAATAAAAGTATCCGAAAAAATTGTCACGAGCTAAACGTCACCGTTGGTAGGTTAGGAATGTATAGTCAAAGTTTGTTCAAATCTGTTCTGTAGTGTAAAAGAATTTTTTGGTCACTGTAAACTCCGGCTCGAATTGCAGTATGACTCACGAATGAAGGTGAAATTGACAATAATTTCACAAGCTAAACATCATCTTAAGGTCCTAATGAATGTGTGTACCAAGTTTCATCGAGCTGCGTTCATTAGTTTGGGAGATAAGTTCCAATTTTGGGATTGACCGTGAGACCGGCCGAGAGACTGGCCGCGCGCCCGGCCGTAAATTTGTCTGACACCTAAAAAAGAGTCGGAATGCTTCAGTTTATTTATGCAATCGAGTTTTTCTTCAAACACGTGAGTAACCACTGCGGTCTGCGTCATGGAATAAAGAAGGGGTAAATTTTATTTGAATTGATTCATATATGCAAATGAAAACTAGCCTTATCTATAATTTGGCTTGCATAAATTAGCATTAATTATATGTATCTGACAAGTCACATTTCTTTTGTTGAATAGTCTACTAATTCCGTTCTTATTTCCGTAGCGAAGTACAGATTAAGAGAAACCGAACATCTTGCCGTCAGTCTTTCTATTAGGTATCTGTCGTTATCAAAGCTATTATTAGAACATGTCGACTTCTAATCTATTCAAAATGACAATTTTGGGGGCTCCGGGTTCTGGAAAAGGAACAATATCTTCACGGATTGTTCGAGATTTTGGCCTGAAACATTTATCTGTGGGTGATTTGCTGAGAGCACAAGTTATGAGAAAGACAGGTGAGAGCACACGAGAATCTACATACATTCTACTGTACTACTGAGAGTCTGAACCAGGTAACCGGCCATAATGAGCCATTCTGGATTTATACTCAGTAGTCAGTTAATAAATTAATTGTGTATTGAGATCTATCAATGTCTCCAAAGGCCAAACTTTTACTTGCTGCAGTGCCAGCAGGCAGCAGTGGGTGCAGCCCAAGTTAGGCCTACTAGCCTAATTTGGGCAATGAGCTGCAGAAGTTAGGAGGTCTCATCCAGTTAAGATCAATTTTCCTCAATCCCTAAGTTAGGAATTCAAGTTTTTTTCAAAAACTTATAACAATTACATAGAGATTAGGTACCCAATAAAATTAGGAATATAAATCTGAATATTCTCAAAATTGCAGATAAAAATCATTGTTTTTATGGTCAGGTTTCACAAATTATTAGCAAAAATGTTCTATTTGCCCTATTTTTTGATAAAATAAATTTGGCAAGCACATTAAAAAAGGTAGGGTGAAGCAACTACAAGCACAGGTTTTCTGTCTTATTTTATCTATAGGTTTAGTCTACCACTCTACCTAATTCACCAGAATGGGAAATTACAATACTCCAATCCATGATCTTCTGAACTGTTGTTGCCACTTGCCAGATTCAGCCAGAAACTTCTTGTCTTCTCCTGAAAATATTTTTTTTGTGTGTGGAACATTTTGATGTGGAAAAGAGACTAACTGTAACACTACGTTTGTGATTTTTTGGTTTTATTAAATATGCCAAAAAATGTTATATAGGATTTACTAAGGATTATTAGCTGCATTGTTGATTTTATTTTAGAGAAATAATTTAATAATGAAAAGATTATTGGGAGATTTATTTCTTCTAAGTCCTTATAATCATCCCTTTCTGTAATCAGAAATTGAATTGCTTTAGACTATTGAGTAAATGTGATTTATTTTTTTTAATATAATTCTGTAGAAAGCTTTAATATAATAAGAAAAAGTCTAAAATTTAATTCAAAGCCAAAAAATAGAGTTGAAAGATTAATTTATTTTGCAATTTTTCAGAACTTGGACTATTGGCTCAGGATTACATGTCCAGCGGAGGACTTGTACCGGACAACATAGTAGTTAATCTTGTTTGTGGTGAGCTCAATTCACTCTCAGATGTAAAGACTGGATGGCTGCTTGATGGATTTCCTCGCACCAAGCCTCAAGCTGAAGCTTTGCAACTACAGCATCAAGTAAAATTTATAGGACTTAAAATTAAGGGATAGTTTAATTAAGTGTGAATTTTCAAATTGTTTTGTAATGACTTTAATAAAGAACCAATTTTTATTAAAACTTTGATAATTAAGTAAAATAAATAGCAAAAAAATAAAGAATCGAAATTAACTTTTAGCTTAATTATGATTAATTATTTTAATCATCAAATTTTATTCATTTATTTGTTTTCTTTTGTTACTTTTTCTCAACAGCTTAACTCTGTTGTGAGTTTGGAAGTACCTCATGCAGTCATAGTAGATCGAATTAAAGGACGGTGGGTGCACCTGCCCTCAGGAAGGGTCTACAACACGGAGTTCAATCCTCCTCAGAAACCTGTGAGCGCCAGGGGGAGTAGAAGCAATGAAACATAACAATTAGTTAACAGTGCATTCAACTGGACCACTTGGTTTCAAAAAAAATTTTTTTTTCATTCCAAAACTTCCTCTTATCTAGAAGTATAGCTTGGTATAGAAAAATACAATGGCATGAGGTGTAGAAGTAGTTCTATATATCTCTGAATGAGTGAGCTTTTGAGAGAATTTTGAGACTATACAGAGTGAGCTTTTTTTAATGTTTCATGGATACTATAATATTTCATCTGATCCTCATAATAGGTGACAATGTTTCAATTTATTCCTGTGTTAGATGCCATCAGTATCCTCATTAGGCCTATAATTATTTGGTTTAAGAGTATACTGAAGAGTAATGAAATGAATAATATTGAGCTCTCATTTTATTGCTTGGAATTTTTTCTGTGGGTATTAGAAAAATTTGTAACGTTGAAAAAAAAGCATCAATTAAGAGTAATGCATGTATGAGAATGGGGAGGAAGGATTAAGCTTTGTCAAGTGTTCTAGAATTACAAAATAATTTAAAGAAATAAATCTGAAAATAATTGGGTATATGAACAAAGATGAAAGATACTATTTTTGTACTTTATAATAACTTATTTCAAAGAAAGAACATGAAATTTTAAAGGGCAGTTAAGTAGTTGTTTTATATCGTGTTGGAAAAAGTTGTCCTCTGTGTCTTGGCTTTGCAGCAAAGAAAATTAGTAACCACCATGAAACTTTCTTTTGGCTTGATAGAAATTTTTTCTGAATGCATAATCACAATTGTTAAATATTGAAAAGTATTACATGTACATTTAAAATAGAATGTAGTCTTGTGGCAGCTCTGGACTTCACTAACTGAGAAATGGCTATCTTAATCTGCTAGTATACTATGAATTTAATTATCTGTTAATACCTACGCAATTTTGTGTGATTATCATAATTCCTAAAAAATGATTTGGTTTTCCAGGGATTTGATGATGAAACTGGTGAGCCTTTAATTCAACGACCAGATGACCAGCCAGAAGCTGTTGCTCAGCGCCTCCTGAATTATGAGCGCAATACTGAGCCTCTCATAAAATACTATAAGAACCTTGGCATTCTTCAGCAATTCCATGGAACTGAAAGTAATAAAATCTGGCCGTTTGTTAAAGAACATCTTGCAACATGCATAGATTTTAAAAAGTAGATTCTGGTAGTATGTATGACAACTTCAACATGCATGACAACTCCAATGTATATTCGTTCCTGTTTTTTGGGTAAATTTTACTACGATTTTTTTCTGACGGTACTAAACCCTTTAATATTCCCATTCCATTTTTTTTGTTCTCTAATTCCAATGTTCATTCCCATGAGATAATGTGACTGTCTTACTTGTTTTGAATTCAGCTTGAAAGGAGTTACCCTACTATGTCTGAAACACCCTCTACACAAAACTTGAAAAGCCATGATATCCCTTATTATAGCTGTTTTTATTGTTTTTTTTTCAACTTGACTAATTTTATTTAATCTCAGAGATGATAATTGGTGATGGTGAAACATTTTCAGGTTTAAACTTGTAATGGTATTCCAAAAAAAAAATGAAGCTAATGTAGAGCTTTTCTTTTCAGTGTAAAAATTGTATATATTGGCTTCTAAATTTTTGTAGATGTCAGATCAAAATTATGTCTTGTACTTAGAAAAAGACTCTTGGAGTGAAAATTGGGTTATCTCGACTGTGCCTTACATGCAGAAAAAGTATTGACATCAAACAGATTGTTGTTCTAATTTATATCATGTGTTGGGATTCTTTTGTTTGATTTAATTTTTATACTATCTTCGTGGGAAATGACAATCTATTCAAAGGTATTCTGATATCCTGTTACCAATTTTCATGAAAAAGGCTTTATTGTTGTATGTGCATTTCTATATTCGCATTCTTATTCATGGATTTTTCGTACTATTTTTATATCTAATTAAGGCTTGAATAACTTGAGCTATTCTTAACGCTTATACCTGTGAAGTCAATCTATTTAAAGTCTTAATAATGATGAGTCTTTTACAATATTATTCACTATAACATTTTATGTACCCCCGTTTTAAATAAAGTATAGTTCTTTATTCAGTTTGTTTATACAAGTACAATTTAGATTTTAATCATCAAATTGTCAGTGCCGCATAACGTTATTTCTGAATAATCTCAAATTGAAAAATGCTTGAGACATTTTTTTGCTGTAGCTTGTGCTTCCATTTTTATGCCGTGGCGAGGACGTTGGGTGTCAATGGAGGCACATACCAATGGAACAAACCGACTGATGCTCGGATGCATGAAGCCTTCGTGCACTGCAATTTCTCCTCTCAATTTTCTTGACGATTTATTTTGAGTCTGTGATTCCTGACGCCTGGGTGTCGAGTAACTCATTTTCAATTATTTCATAAATGTGATGTACCGTACGAGTTGAAAAAGATTTCTCAGTGTCATTCGTATTTCCGACGCCTTTTATTGCATCGAGCATTTATGAATATTTTTACGTTCCGATCCCTTGTTTCTGCTGTATAAAACAACCGTTATTAGCTACTCGGTATTTGCGGGCTGGGGCAGACCCCTGAGCGAGTTTCGACTCCCATGCTTCTGGCAGGAGTTACTACCGTAATTTTTGGGGAGCAGCTAGGAGCAAACTTTATCATTGATGGCATCATTGTCATCTTGACATTTCTAATTAAAAAAATACTCGTATCCATTTATGATTCGTGTCTCTGTTTGCGTTCAAATTCATTTGTTAATGTAGTTCTTAAACATTCTTTACCACTCTGGTGTACTTGTCAAAAGGCGCTTGTTAACACAGTGCAATTGGCTAGCACTACCGGGTAGTTAGCTAGTAGTTGTATGTCTATAGTAGCTACTAACTGCCACTAATCATCGGGATTGTGGCCTCATGTAGTGGGGTACTTGCTGCTTCTGGCGCTAGTAATGAGTGGTAGCTCGATGAAACAAATCAGTTTTTTTCCTGCTGATGAATGAAAAAATGGTCACGTCGGCAACCAGCTGCGGTCTGAGAATGAAGAGAGCTAAAATTCGTAATGGTCCACTGGTGTGGGTACCGTAGTACATGTGATATTTAATTGTTTCAAAATAATACAAGATATATATATTATCTATTCATACTTATTACGTTCAGAGTTTTGTCTATTTCACTTACACCCCTCAGGGGGGACTTCTGACTGGTGTCTGTGCTCGTCAGAAGTCCTATGGGATTTCGCGCTCCTAGGGGGATTGTTCCTGAGCGCCCTACCGCTGAGCTCGTGGTGTCTGACTGTAGATTTCAGTTGTGGGGTTAAGTTATTATGTAGGCAGGATTCCTTAATTTCCCTTCTCTGTCTCTCTCGTGCGGGCGGCCGTGTAAGCGACCTCTTATTCGAGTGTCTTCGTTTCTGTTGCTTTTCACCTGTCCCTCCTTGTCATTTCGTCTCTTTGAGATGCTAGCTAACGCTGCTTCTTTCGAGCCAGCTTCAGCGGGCTGGACATCTGATCCTTTCCGCCCCTTGTGGGTGATGAATAATTGAGACCTTCCACCTCTATGGTGATGTTCATCTTGACTTTCGGTGCGAGATAGCTAAATAGCTGAAGCGCTAGTAAACATTTGGCCACTAAACTAAATTAAACGAATTAAATATTTCACTTACAATTTTAATTGGATGTAAAAGAGCCTAATATCTTTTACTATCTACGTAGTGCCCTTCATCGATTGCGATCAACTTATGCTGTTAAAGCATGGTCTACTAACGCTAACTCGACTGTGAATGTATATTAATTATTCATAGAAGTACAGCAGATGGAAGTTAAAACCTCGTCTCGCCATGACTTTTTGTTCAATTTTGAACTCATTGATTACGGACACATTATTCGCCGTCAATGCTTTTAGCATGGCTTTTAGTTTTAGTATCTAACGACACGGGAATGGAAGTTGCCATCAGTACTACCTAGGCCATGGGTTGCGAATAGAATAGAATTGCGATGGCAGCTTTAAAGTTTTGGCTATCCACAGGATAGGACTGTCGCCGATATTGAGCTTTGCAGAATTTTCAGTTTGCTCATTGCTGTGGGTCTGGAACCGCAACTCGCAGCTCCATTCGCGATTCGCTGAACTGCCCCGTGTCCACTTGGCTGATAGCCTGATGTGGGCTATAACTGTCACAGGAAGCTGGAGTCGAACCCGTAAAACACTAGTGTCGGCGTTGAAGACATAGGCCCATGGCCTATGTCTTGGCCCTATGTCTAGAATAGAATAGAAGTGTCGGCACTGAAGAAATAGTCCCATGGCCTGTTGCCACTGCTCTAATTTTGTTAATCTGTGTACTGTAACGGTAACCGCTGAGCCAGCCTGCGCCATATAATCATTGGGCTACCCTTCCTTTTCTTTTGGGTTGAGATCGATCGTAACATAATTAGTAGGTACATAATAAATGATGGACAAATAAATTATTCAAAGTCAATTAGAATTTTGACTTCTTTAAATTGTCCAAAGACAATTAATATTTTGCACTATTTATATGCATTTTATTTAATATTTACCATTTATAGACGTTGATAAAGATCTGTGATTTTAAATCAAAGAATTGCGAAGCAAAAAATCAAATTTGGTTCAAGATAGGTACTTAGTGGGTAGTGCTGGGTACTCAGGTTAGTCAGGTACTGGGTAGTGTCACTAGTGTGTACACTGTGAATTTTCGACCCAAAAGTTCCATCTGTTTCTATTTGACAAAGCTAGGGTAACAAATAAGGATGATGATCAAGGTTTTTCAAGGAGTTGAAGCAGCTATAATTAATCTTTATTCAGGGATGCCTGTGGAAGACAAGACAGGCATCCTTGCATTTTCAAATGGGCATCCCTGCATCATCAGTCCCACTGGCCCTGTGTTTTGAATGGACTTTCATGACCTTGATCCCTATTAGGCTAGCTATTAGTATTCCCTTCCTTCAACTCAAGTATGTATGTAGCCAACTAGTCAACAACACTTATTGACTGTAAAATAATCAGCCGGGCTGAGCCAGCGGCCACATCCACCACAGTGAGTCCAGCCGTTCACACCCATTGAAGTAGGCCTATCAGTGATCAGCTCACTGCTCACACTTCACAGCCACAGAAAAATAGCCTGCAATAGTTTGGCCCGGAATCATCTGCCAGTGCACAAAGAAGTCTTTGCCATTCAGCATAGTAAATTGAATGAGGCAGACCGTGGTAGAGATCCATAATCCCCATAATTTTCAGTGGCTTTCAACATCAAGTTCAGCTTCATCCTGAACTTCTGGAAGTGGCTGAAGATTCTCCTCCCTGAGGGAGGCCAGCAGAGACAGACTCAGCAGGCAGCAGCTGAAATCTGAATGAGATCTGTCACTGTAGATCTGTAAATTTTGGAGATAGCACTGTATCCATAAGCCTTGAAAGCAATCATTTTCTGTGCAAGTTCATGTGGCATTAAATTAACTCTAGAGCTCAATAAGTGCACACAGATGCTGGAGGAAGAATCAACATTGGGTGGAAATGTGGATGTCAACCAGATTTTTTAGAATAAATTCATTTTTAATTTCCTAATTTAGTCCAGATTCAATTTAATATCTTATGTATGATAAAATTTATAATGCTGGTGCCTGGTAGTGGTATGACTGGTATCCATGACTCTGTGCTGGTCTACCACTACTTGTGAGACTCAAAATTATTGAACTTTAGGAAGAGTAGGTAGGTTATAAAAAAACCCTCTGCTTTGCCACTTTGCTGAGTGAGTGAGTTTGGTGGGGGCCGGGGGTGAGGGGGAGGGGCCAGCAAGGCAGGGCTCCCACCTTGTGACCTTGGTGGCCTTGTCATAGTTACATGTCAAAATCAAAAAGCTTAAGTAAAATAAAATTTCAAGTGAAGTACAAGATGAAATATACCTAGTAACAACAAAACAAAACAAAAAAACTGAGTAAAAGTTGAGTACAAAAGTTTGTATAGTACAAAAAAAGTTGAGAGTAGTAACATTTTTAATTTTTCAAGAAAAAAAGGCTTCAAACAGAGAATGGACAAAAAGGCCAAATAAAATTCAGCTGTCAAATACATTACATTTCAAATAATATGCATTTAAAAGTTACTTTTTAATGACAACACTTCCAAAGACTAAAGAGGCCAGTGTCTCCAATGTTACTAATGTACAATGAATTTCTTCTTTTTTATTCTAAATATTAAAAAAGTTATTTGTAAAATTGTCTGTCAGATTGTCTTACCATATTTTTAAAGTAGTATATATATATATATTTATCTCAGCTGCTGAACACCAAGCCTACAACAATGTTGGAGTTGGTGAGTTGTTAAGCTAATGGTGAAAATTTGCTGTACTACTAGTGCAACCATTTGAGCTGTAGCTTCCTTTTATCCATTGTGTGCCTTAAAATATCATATCAGACCATCATTTTTCATATAGTATGTACTGTTTAGATATCAAAATTTAAATATTTTCTCAAAAGTTTCAACAGTTGAAAAACTCAGCTAATTAATTTTCAAATAAATTAATACATATAGAATGAAGAGAACTTTTATTCAATTAACATAAGACATGAGGTTATTGTACTTTCATTGTTCAATGCTCAGTATATACTTGAGTTGCCTCCTCACAACAATTTTCTTTCCAGACATGGTGCCAGATGCTGAATCCCAGCCCCTACATCAGTCAATACTTATATCCTCTCTTCAGAGCTTCCAGTGATGAAGAGCTGGTCTATCACATGACTTTTGGTGTCATCATCTATGCTCTGATTGTTTTATTTCTGCCTATGGTTTGTTCTCTATTCACAATTCTGTAATATAGTCATGCTTTAGGATAAAATCTTATTACCTGATGCATCTGTATGATCTATTTCTATGGGTAAATCTGAAATTGTCAATTTAGCACCCTTTAATGCAAAACATGATTTCTGATGCTTGATATTCACCTACCATGGTAAGTCATAATGTAGTTTTATCATTATATTATAATGAACCATGTTCATATTGATTTCTTTGATTAATTTGTTATTACATATAATTAAAGTAGAAATTAAGCAATGATGTCATTAATTCCACATTGGGAAGTCAGCTTTTCTCTTGCATGGTTGTTAGCAACATATAGACTGTGAGTTATCTGTTGCAGGCTGCTCCATATGGACGCTACAGAAGCACTCGCTTTGGATTTGGTTTACCTGCCAAGCTTGCTTGGGTGGTGCAGGAGTGCCCTGCATTTTTGATGCCCTTCTTTATGGTTATCACTACACAGCGTTCTAACTATCACACTGTCACCAACCAAATTTGTATGGGGCTTTTCATCATTCATTATTTTCAAAGGTGACTGACATTAATTAGTGTTATAGATATACTTATAGTTGTGTTGAATTAATCATTTTATTTTATTGAACTCTGTAATAAATAATCTTCTAGTCTTTAGTATAATTCTATTTTTCAGTCCATTGTACCAGTATATCTAAAATAATATACGTTTAAAAATTACTTTTTAAAGACAACACTTCCAAAGAATCCAGTATCTCCAATCTTACAGATGTACAATGAATTTCTCATTTAATTTTCGAATATTAAAAAAATTAATTTTTCAATTTTTTTAATATATAAATTTTTTCTCCAACTTTCCACAAGTGTGCAAAATTTCAGATCGGTAGGATAAGTAGAAGTGTATTAAATTTCGATTACAAGATTTGTAGCAGACAGACAGACAGACAGACAGACAGACAAGAAGTGAAGTTAAAGAGAAGTGTTGTAATTAGAGTAAATTTGTTGGAAACCTTACAATTTCTGTATATTTCTGTTACTCTATGGTGCTTCATTCATTGATAATGAGGTAAATGTATGAATTTCTGTCCCCAGGTCCTTTGTGTATGCATTGCTTGTGCCGAGCAAAAACTCAGTTCCTTTCTTGCCATTTGTTTCTGCTTTTTTTACATGTCTTCTATTTGGAACACTGCAAGGCGTTTATTTTGTCAACTTCTACAAATATGATGACTCGGTGTGGTTAAAGAAGCCTTATTTCTGGATAGGTGAGTAATTCAAAGCTAATTTTGGCCAGTTTCTTAACAATAGCCATTGTTGAAGCTTATTATATTTATATTACTTGTGAATTTGAGGATTTTAATATAAAATTAGGGAGTGAAATACATCTTAAATTAAGCTTGTTTATTGAAGTTTTTTTCATTGCAGGTTGTGCTCTTTATTTATATGGGATGCGGCTGAATGTGGGATCAGATAGTGTGCTACGAAAACTTCGCAGTTGTGGAAACTCTGATTACAAAATCCCACGAGGTAACCCACTAGTAAAAAAGAATTTTCAAACCTAAATAAACTAGATAAGCTGACTTCTCATGAACCATTTTTTTGTAAATCTACATAATTATCTCTCATTTTCACTAACACAGCATCTGATATACTAGTTTATTTAAAATTTTGACATGATAATTTGCTACCCAGGTGGCATGTTTGAGAAGGTCTCCTGTGCCAACTACCTAGGAGAGGTGCTCGAGATGTGGGGCTACGCAATATCTTCATGTGCACCTCCTGCTTTCGCCCACGCACTCTTCACCACTTGCTTCCTGACGCGCCGAGCGTTGCAGCATCACCAGTAAGTCATCCACCAATACAAACAATATCTCTGCCTTGGATGCAGGCAAAAGGAAATAAAAGCTGTGCTGCATCATTTGCAGTATAACTAGTAAGTTACCATCAATAAAAATATCTGCCATGTATGCAGCCAAAATAAAAATAGGCATAAACTGTGCTGCATCATTTGCAGCATAACTAATAAGTCAATCATCAATACAAACAATATCTCTGCCATTTATGCAGCCAAAAGGAAAATAAAAACTATGCTGCATCATGTGCAGCATAACTAATAAGTTACTTATCAATACAAACGATATCTCTGCCATGTGCGCAGCCAAAAGGAAAATATAAACTTTTTGTGCTGCATCATTTTGCAGCATAACCAGTAAGTCACCATCAATAAAAACGGAATATTTTCTAATACATACAGCTCAAAGCACCGGTCTCCAGCATGGATGGTAAGGTTCCCCAATGTCCCCGTGGGGTGTTTTGAAATTATGAGCTAAAATTCTACTAATTGTTTACCTAACAATAATAATGTAATGTGCAATAAAAATTAACTTTAAAAAGCCCCAAAATTTCAGGCTAGTAGATCATAATTACCCAATTATGAGCTCGCATTAACATTATTGTTGTTATTCTGAACGTGTGAATTTTTGAATAACCCTTAGTCAGCTGCAAATAAGTCAGTTTTCACACAAGTAAGATAGTAAATCGTATTTTATTACTCTATTTTTATTGCTCTTATGTACTTATGAGCGAAATTATTTATTTTGATAGAATATAAACCAGTAGTCATGTAATGAAAATTTGTGGCAGTATTTATGTACATCGGGCATTTAATGATTGTGTAAAACTTAGTTCTCAACTGTAATTGGTGTGTGTAATTTTACTGCTTAGTGAGACCAGGTACCGTGTTGATGCTGATATTTTTTCACTTCATATATGAAAGAATAAAAATATACCATGCTTGAATTAATCTTATAATAGAAATTACCACGAAATAATAACTATTATCATCTCATAAATAGTGGCTACAACAGTAATGTCAGTAACGCAGTGTGCGAGCCTGAAAATACTATACCCATCAATACAATTCTTCTGAATCAATGTAAATTTTTTTGCGAAATATCTACAAATGCAAATGGTGGTGTTACAATCATATTGTTCCTTTTTGTAGGATACGAAAAACGCCATTTGAATTGTTTCCACATTTATCTAGGATTCACATCAGTATTCACTCGAATTTTTTGTCTCTAAAATTCGTTTGGTTGGCTTTTACTGAATATATAATTTTTCATATAATTTGAGAAAAGTTTTGGCTCTGAAATTACTGATTGAAACAGTGGGTATTTCAGAAAAATCCATCTTCCATGAGGGTACCTTACCACACATGGGTAAACTACTTAATACACTGGCCGGAAAAGTTGTCTATCTTTTCTTGTACTTAGCAGCCAAATAATCAGTTCCAATGTAAATCAAAATCGTTCTCAATGTATTTCTCTTGTTTAGCTATTAAATTTATTCCTTCCATAAAAATTGCTCTTACAACATTTTCAGGATTTAGCTGTTTAATTTACTAAATATATTCATTTTTCAGATGGTACCTAAAAAAGTTTGACGACTATCCCACTGATCGTAAGGCCATCTTCCCATATCTCCTCTGACGAATTGAATGGATAATCAACAAGGACGATCAGTTGAACTCAAACGCTGAGTGGTTGAGGACAGTAAGATGGAGGTTCGAACAGGATGATTAAAAATCGGCAATAGGTCAACATATTTTAATCATAGCTGACTACACTATATTATATTAGCAGGCCTCCTTAGTGCGGCTTAGTAGCGGCAATCTATTTCACTTATGACATTTTTTTTAAGAGAAGACTGCAGCCAATGTTCACTTGTGGGCTGTTTGTGTCGATGCAAGCATTACATGTGACATCAGTTATTTCTTTCTCTAAATTGGTCGAGCGTCCACAAATATCAATTCTATTTTATGCAAATAAACCTGACAAATATTTTCTTCCTTATATGTGTACTTTGAAAATTCTGTAATTTCACAAGAGACAGGTTGATGGGAAAGATGAAAATTTTCTGTCAGAATAATGATTTGCATTTCACCTTCAAGTATAAACTTGCATTAATTCTATCTATGATTAATTTTCGAGTAAATTTCAGGCTGATCGGCCGTCTCAGGAAATACGTGTAGAACTAAGTTATTGCTGGGTAAATATTTGTTTACTTGCGTTTACTCAATTTTTAGTACAAATCTGAACGCTGCCGGGCTACAAATCTCGGGCTGCCGCATAGTTATTAGTAGCACCTTACACGGAGCCTTTACTACATTTCTATGTCACAAAGTACACCTGGAGAATTTATTTTTGTCGTTATATTATAATCAACTATTTTCATATTGATTTCTTGGATTGATCATTTCGTTATTATATTCAAAGTAGAAATTAAACAATGATGGCATTTATTTCACGTTGAGCAGTCAGCATTCTTCTTTCATCGTTGTTAGCAATTAGCAACATATATCCTGCAAGTGACTAATACTAGTATTTCCAGATCGTTGTTTTATGCGCAAATTTACCATCTTATTTTATTAGTTATATATTTACATATAGAAGCCCACCCAATTATTTCGATGTGAGAAATCAAGGGAAGGACATTCATGTTTCTGGTGACCGATTTATACCGTCAATAATGGTGCCATCCTGTCACCATGCTGTGGTGCATCTTAACAATGATTATCCTCACATTATGTTTTATTGTTATTCAATATTGTAATGTTTTATTCTTATTCAATATTGTTATGTTTTAATGTTATTCAATATTGTGACTTAAGTCATCGGTACGTTCATCTCATCTGCCATGGCTGTGCAATAAAATTATGGCGAATATCAACCACCTTTAATGTCATCCTTATTTTCAAATGTCGCAAACGAGAAGAGGCCTGAACTAACACGCGAAAATTTGTAGCTTGCATGGCTGATTAGATCTAAGATGAAACTACAAATATCTCGAGCTTCGCGGGCGATTTAATATTCATGCCCATTCAATGGTGCTGAACTCGTGAGAAATTATACTAAAGCCATTATGGTCACTGCGACTGTCGCATATTTTGCGACCAAAAGAATGAGTGCCCCGCTCGTCTATGCATTGTTTCCCTGAGTCACTTCATCAGTCTGCTGTGGTGCCCGGACCACGCGTTGCGCAGTAACGTGACGGAGTGTACATCGCCAATTCCATTTTTTTCCATGTACGGTGAATGAAATGGGCCTTTTATTTCCCGCACTGTTGATAATATTCTTTGAAGATTTTTACGAACCCACACTCTGTGTACACATACATTATACTGCAATCTATAGAGAATTTAAATTTTCAAGTTTTTTCTTCAGTTTCTCTTGCTATTTGATAATTACTTTCTTATCATGCATCTCACTTCGCACACGTTGCACGTATAAGGAGTGAAGAGACTGGAGGCGGTCAACCATAAACATTTATTTACTAGCTGCTTCGTATTTATTAATTAGTCCTTCAGTACGGACTAGATTTATATTGCACTGCCCAGATAAAAAATCTTATTAATGCGACTTGTCACTGATTGCCACCATAGAAGGTAAAATGAAAAGAAAAATAGGCAAAAGCAGAAGATATCCTTGTGAGCAATACGGCGTGACTGAGCCGATCTCGATAGATTCCAGTTAATGGATTTACAACCCATGCATCCAATAGTTTCGTATTGCGCGTTTTTGTCTTTATTGACGCACAACATGGCTTGCAACACATGACACACAACATGGCTTACAACACATGACGCACAACATGGCTCACAACACATGACGCACAACATGGCTTACAACACATGACGCGCAACATGGCCTACAACTCATGACGCACAACATCGCTTACAACACATGACGCGCAACATGGCTTGCAACACATGACGCACAACATGGCTTGCAACACATGACGCACAACATGGTACAACACTGACGTACAACATGGCTTACAACATATGACGCACAACATGGCTTACAACACATGACTCACAACATGGCTTACAGCACATGACGCACAACATGGCTTATAACACATGACTCAAAAAGTTGGCTTACAGCAGAAGCTGCGCAACACTTGAATAAACTAAATGAAAAATTTACATAAGCTGCCAAAGAATCATTAATAATTTCATCTAATTAATAAGCGAGCTTCAGGCGTGATAAGTCAAACAACAACGGCCGCCAGCGAACATCTGTGTCAACGAAGCTCTTCGTCTTGTTGAGCGATGCACGTGTCGTCGCGACAGACGCCCACGCCAAGACCAGCTACGTACAAGGACAAGAGATTGCAATGGATATGAAGTTCTACACCGCGATCAGTTGTATACTGTACATGAATTAAAGGATTGAATAGTTGCAATGCAAGGCAACATTCTATTTAAAGATAACAAATCTGTTTCCTCAATAATAGAGAACTTAGGTGTAAATCTCGAACAGAGTTTTTTCTGTTGACAAAATAACACACGTTTATTGGCGAAGTAGGAAGTCAAGGTGACGTTGGAGAACTTCGCTTGAAAATTCTTAAACTCTATAGAGGTCTCACAGGTACTGACAGTTATAGGCTGTCATTCAGAACAACGTAGCAACCACTGGCCAATAAATAGCTTCACTAAATCATTTCATGGCTAAACAAAATTCATACACTATGAACATACATCAGATTATTCGAAATGCCTCTCATTTTTGTTGAATTTTTGACTTGCCTCTCATTTTTGTTGTGTACAACAAATTTTCCAAAGCAATATAAATCTGGAAGAAATTATGTAAGAAGTAATAATTATAACTTAGATTTTTGCATGATATACAGTAAAATAACATTATGCAACGTGACATTATACGAGTACAATATACAAGGCTATATATATACGCTAGATACAATTTTTATATAAAGATTAGCCCATAATTTTCAGATCTAGCCCGGAAATAGCTAATTTGGCAATATTGAATTCATCCCATGTACATTTTACAACCGCTGCAACGACAGTTAATACGTTACGGCCCCGGGAGCGATTCTGAAAGCGCAATGATTCAGAAAAACCGACGTTTACAATATTCAGCCTGATGAAGTTCATGGAATCTCCTGTGACTATGCGACGCACGAACCTTCGGCAGGATAATCAATTAAAAATTTCATGCTTTGCCGACTATGGTTGACACGACTCTACTCAAACAGAGGTAAAGTAATAGGGTGAAACTTTCATATGAAAAAACTCATGAGACATCCAGCCTTCGCGAACTAGAAAGATCGAAATCATTAATCATACAGATGCGTGGGCGCCTTCTTACATTCGGTTCTTAATGCACCTGGACCAACAAACCGAAGTCCTATAAAATCAGAGTCACACGCAAACAACGTGACAGAGCAGCAAGAGCTTTTGAACTGCCCGCAGACCCTGTCGTTCCCCAGCAGTCCCAGCAGCAAGAGTGTTTGAACTGCCCGCAGACCCTGAAGTCCATTCCCTGATCACAGCCCGCAAGATGTCGCGAGGTCTCGTGCTTCTCATCGTCGCCGCGGCAGCAGCGTCGACGCAGGCGTAAGTAACACGTCTTCAGAGGGCCATGAGTGGTTTTGGTAACACTAACCAAGCGGAAAAATGTTTCATTTTTTCCTGCGAGGATATTTCGCATTAAATGCTGCTGATATTTGTTTTCAGGTTTCTTATGATTACTAGGGCAGTACCTTCTTATATTTAAGACGTTTTGCTTCATACGATGGCAGCATCAACACTTAAGCTTGAGAATGAAACACGATACTAAATCATCAGTAGAAGGCGACGTGAAAATGTGAATAATCAATTGAGTGACAATTCATTATTTGAAACGCTGTAAAAATAAAATCAGAATTATTTACGGCATTAGATGCTTGCCAGACAATAATGGGATAAAAAGTAATAATAAAAGTGATGTCAGCGTTTGTTAGGCCATTAGATATCACGCCGATTCTTAACGTTGCAGAACATTCACAGCTTGCTGCTGGTCTCAAACATGCAACTCACTGCTTCAGTTTTGGTATTCCGAACTGTAATCACTTCGCAACCCTGCGTGTGCCACGTATTTGCCAACCACGATTGATTTGAAGAACAATGCCCTCTTGCAGGCGAATGAAAAAATTTTTGTTTGCTTCAGGCATGAGTAGCATTTAAGATGATCTTATTCAGTAGAATAGTATAATTGGTGAACCGCTGTAAGAATTGGTCCTCGCTGAGAACAAGTCAAGTCATGAGCTGGAGGCCCGACGACCTGCCTGGCCATATCATTGTATTCCTACACATATTTTATCATTGCATTCCTACTTAGCTTTAATCACTATATGGAGCGAGGAGGAGACTTTACACCTGGATGCATACGATCGCGAAAAGTGTTCGTACATATTTATGCGACAATGAGAGTTTCAGGTTGCGGAAGGACGTACTCGTTAAACTTATTGGAACAGTAAGATTTGCAGGTTGCGGAGGAAAAGTGTTCATACATCTTAATGCGACAGTAAGATTTGCATGCCGCGGAGGGCAACAGAAAAACTTTTTGGAAACAGTGATGTCAGCTAAGGTTGTGCTCCTCTCCAAACCGAAATTCAGGAGCTTTCTGCGCCGTGCGATTTCTTTTATCAAATCATTTATATTCTCATTGTAAGCGAAAACTTAATTTGATTATTGATATTGCCCAACTACCCCATTAACTTGAAGGGAATTACTTGGGAAAATATAATTTTTCAGTAACAAATCTTATTTTGAACTGAATATCTTGATGAAACAGAAAATGTAACTGTTGAGATAATAGACTATGATTGCAAGGGGCATACCTATTTAATTTGTGAAATTATTCCAGTGCCTGGTCGGCATGCACTACGGCGTTGTATGAGGCCAGAGAGGCTTTAAAAACAGCGGGGTCTGCTTGCTTATCACAGTACAGTGCGGATATTGAGAAATATGTTGCAAGTAAGTGTTAAAATAATTAATACGAACTATTTTACTCCAACTTAAAACCATCATTATTATAAAAACTTCTCATCAAGCACTAAAATATTTCTATTTCAATGTGTAGATGCTCTTGTGTGCGAATCAAACATGCATTTTGCTCATAGACGAGTGCAGGACAAGAACTTTTCTTTCATGAATGCGTATTAATTTTCCAATTATCCTGGTTGAATTACCGAACGTTAACTAACCAATATAGAATTCCTGCAATGTTTCACTCCCATACCTTGTATCGCAATGGACTGTTTCGTTCCTCCTCAGACCCGAACTGTACTTCCTCCGATCTATGGTACGGCGAGGATACATGTAATGCAATTGTTGCTAACGCCATGAAGTGCATCGTGAAAGCTGTCAAACTTGTGAGTATAGTACAATACTGAGCATCGAGTGTATGACTTGTGAGTGTGACTGTACATTGGGCGCAGAGTTCATGAATGGATATTACAGCTCAAAAATTCTGGTCTCATACACGTAACACACGCGCTCAGCAGTATTTATGCCTGGTGTGCATGGTCGATTGTTAGAGGTTACTGTCAGTCACAAACTATTGGGCGTGACCAACTGGGAGGGCACACAGACCTGGAAAGTGGGTCGAGACAGCCGGAGAACATTTTCCAATTCGGTATTGGTATTGCTTCCATGTTCAAAAATTTCTCATTACATTATCCTCAAATATGCTCTTACATTTTTTCGTAACAGCTCACACGAAACGTGGGAGATTTGATCTTTCGAGATACTCTTTCCGATCTCATTTAAGGCTAAACATTTTTTTTTCGCTGAGCAAAAAAATGAGTATAAATCCAAACTCCAGTTACCATATATGCTCCTTATCTCCATCTCCCGTTCTTCAGCTGAAGGCAGACAACACGTTCGACGACGCGGCCTTCAAAGCAACCACATTGAAGAATAAATGCAGCGCTGACGCCAAGTTCATTGCCGCGTACCCGAAGTGCAGGAACCACACCATGAAATATTGGAGGGTAAGTAAAAGCATCTGCTTATCTATTTGACATAGAAACAAATGCAACATTTTCCATTTTTATTGCTCACATTTTAAAGTAACAAGAAAAAATTAGCAACGGTTGAGTATAGTTCGAACAACGACAGAAAAACATCTTTCATAGAAATTCAACGATATCACACCACTGCAGAGTGCAGCAAACAGAAGAGATCACAGAATTTCCGTAAATTTTCATCGCTGATGCCTCATGTTTCATTTTTCAGTTGGACCAACTATGCAACTGCCTCACATAATGCCGTAGTATCCACCGGGTGATGTCACGGAAGAACATGGACGGGTGATGTCACGGAAGAACATGGACGGGTGATGTCTCGGAAGAACATGGACGGGTAATGTCACGGAAGAACATTGAAATGAGCCAGAAGACGACGAACTGAGCATCAGAATATTTTCTTCTTCAGTAACCCATTGATTTCCGCCTAGATGGATTGCTGACGAGAAAATTGTAATTGTTGCAGTTTTGAATTCGATATTTCTTTGATTGTGTGTGTGGCTGCGTGTTTTAATCTTTAGTTTACGGATTTTTTACAATTGAGCTTCACTCGCTCTTCCCCATAAATAAAAGATTCAGGAAAAGGATAGTAGGATGCATGCATTTACTATACCCACTTCACTGTACATTTATCAGTTTGCATACATTATTCACGAGTTATATAGTTATATTATTCACGAGTTTCTGGGATATAATCTACATCTATAATGTAACAATACAATACATGATTTGAATGCACGTATATTTTACCGTCCTGTCTGGTGTAATTTTATTCAAATTTCATGTGATGTTTTCGTGAGGAACGTTTTATAGGAGCAGATATTTGCAGGTATGTCATAGTACGTTTTTCGTCGCATATAACGTACTGTGTGCCACGTCATAGTACGTACTTATGGTGCGTCCGTTCCCAGATACACTTAGACGTTTTTTGCCCAGACCTCAACCCAAAAGGACTCTCTGAACGCGAGCTGAAAGACTAAAGCCAGCCAACAAATGGAATCGAAAGATATTCTATTATCGAGTCAATAAGGAATATATATTTCATAATATTTGATACTTTAATGAAAGCCGCGCAAGATGTGAACCCAGTCTCATCACTCCAGCCTGACCTTCAACGCAAGACCAAAGCAGTATAACGTTGCCCTGCTGTATGTGAGGTCAATCGTATCGGCAGCGTAACAAAAGCTTGTTGATGATAGAAGTTATACTGTGAATGGAAATAAAAACTGCTTAACACTTAATATCTAGCAGAAATTTAGAACAAAATAAATGGCACAAAATTTACCATATTTCAATACAATAAGGCTTTGAAGTCATGCTTCATCGTCAGATCGACAATCGTTGATTGCAAGAGCAGTTAACTAGTGTCCAACATTTACATTGCAGACGTTAAAATAAAAATCGGTAAATAAAAGACAATCAACTTAGAATAATAATAAGCAGAAAGGCATTTCCATCAATAATTTCAACAGGACCAGAACGAAACGCGTCACTGTCAGCGACAGACCATTGCACTGCTCGGCGTGAGGGTGCACAGCCGAATGAGGGCCCGAATCCCGATAGCAACTGTCCAATCCTACAACTCCTGCCCTTATGCTCGGCGTCACTAGAATGAAGATTGCGTGCCGTCACCTCAACGTACGCAAATGGATATCGTACACAACAATATTGATAAACTAGAGACGATCGCATTTGAACAGGAAGCATTTATTTGCATCGAGAGAAAGAACCGATTTTAAAATTGTTTACTAGCATAACTTGAAGATTGATATTTGAGAAATATTTCATGAGCAAGACTTTTTAATTCTCTTGACATAGCTTCGGACGCAGGGCCGAAGGATGGAAAAGAACAAAATTAACTGCGTTCCTACAATCGCTCTCGGGAGCACCCCACTGTATCGCTTCGACATGAATTTCTTGACTGCTAGGCACGCTGAATTTGAATTTTTACAAAATAGTTTCTCGCCTAATGGATTTCCGGCAAGTCTGGTGTTTAGCCAAATCAAGAAATTCATGGCGAAGCGATACAGTGATGTTGCTACCGAGGCTAGTACGAGGTTGCTCCCGAGGCTAGTATGAGGTTGCTCCCGAGGCTAGTACGAGGTTGCTCCCGAGGCTAGTATGAGGTTGCTCCCGAGGCTAGTATGAGGTTGCTCCCGAGGCTAGTATGAGGTTCCTCCCGAGGCTAGTACGAGATTGCTCCCGAGGCTAGTACGAGGTTGTTCCCGAGGCTAGTACGAGGTTGCTCGCGAGGCTAGTATGAGGTTGTTCCCGAGGCTAGTACGAGGTTGCTCGCGAGGCTAGTATGAGGTTGCTCCCGAGGCTAGTATGAGGTTGCTCCCGAGGCTAGTATGAGGCTGCTACCGAGGCTAGTATGAGGTTGCTACCAAGGCTAGTATGAGGTTGCTACCGAGGCTAGTATGAGGTTGCTACCGAGGCTAGTATGAGGTTGTTCCCGAGGCTAGTATGAGGTTGCTCCCGAGGCTAGTATGAGGTTGCTACCGAGGCTAGTATGAGGTTGCTGCCGAGGCTAGTATGAGGTTGTTCCCGAGGCTAGTATGAGGTTGTTCCCGAGGCTAGTATGAGGTTGCTACCGAGGCTAGTATGAGGTTGCTCCCGAGGCTAGTATGAGTTAGTTAGTTTAGTGGCCAAATGTTTACTAGCGCTTCAGCTATTTAGCTATCTCGCACCGAAAGTCAAGATGAACATCACCATAGAGGTGGAAGTTCTCAATTATTCATCACCCACAAGGGGCGGAAAGGATCAGATGTCCAGCCCGCTGAAGCTGGCTCGAAAGAAGCAGCGTTAGCATCTCAAAGAGACGAGGTGACAAGGAGGGACAGGTGAAAAGCAACAGAAACGAAGACACTCGAACAAGAGGTCGCTTACACGGGACGTCGGCCGCCCGAACGAGAGAGATAGAGAAGGGAAATGTAAGGTATCCTACCTACATAATAAGTTAACCCCACAACTGAGACCTACAGTCAGACACCGCGAGCTCAGCGGTGGGGCGCTCAGGAACAATCCCCCTAGGAGCGCGAAATCCCATAGGACTTAGGACTTCTGGCACGCACAGACACCCGTCAGAAGTCCCCCCTGAGGGGGAGGCTAGTATGAGGTTGCTACCGAGGCTAGTATGAGGTTGCTACCAAGGCTAGTATGATGTTGTTTCCGAGACTAGTATGAGGTTGCCCCGGAGTCTGCATTCGCTCCGAGCACTCGCGGCGAGTCCAGTTTTGCCGGCTGAGAGCCTGTACACGAGGAGAGTATTTGGTTAACAGACCGCAGGCGCCAGTAAGTTGTTATAGGAGCTGTCGAGTGAGGTCTGCGCATGGTGGAATATGCAACGTAACGATACTGACGAGTTTGAGGAAGAAGTCGGTGGCACAGGTGCCTCTATTCCTGAGGTGAAAAACTTAGATCAGCGCAGAGTGTGGGCGAGAGACCTAATAAGGTTTCGTTTAAACTTCAAACACTAATTTCTCAATTAGTTTTTGTTTTATTATTCATCGTGACGTACATTCCACAGTAGACCATACTTTTAGAATATCCATAAGAAAAGTTCAATTTCGTCTGAAAACTTCTAGACGTTCATGGAATCGTCGTCGTTGGGACAAGACATAGTTCATAACATTAGAGGACACAGAGCGGTCCAAGCAGGTGACAGAACGGCACACGTGTACTCACTACGACTGCCGCAGCCCGACTAGATCGCACATAAGACATAACTTAAACTGCTTCGGGCGCCAATGCATCAGCTACACGCATCTCATGAAGAATAAATACTCTTAATATTCGGGGTGCGAATACTCGCCGCGAATACTAGCCCCTGTGTATAAGCAGCTTGAGTTATAATTTAAGGCCTGTTTCGACTCCTGCGAGCATCTACATCAGCATTGCTGAAATAAGAATTGTTTTTAGGCCATAGGTTACGAGATTAGCTAACGAAGTTGAATAAGACATAACTTAAAACCCTCAGCATGCATCACCGTAAATTCATCATGCACGGCTCTGAATAAAACATTTTCACAGTACAGTATTTTATTTTCTTTGTATTATACATAAAAAAACATGTCCTCTAATTAGCAGCCTTTTCGGCATGTTTCTGACGAAGGGGAGACAAATCAATGGCCCCAATTTTTGCGACGTCAGGATCATTAAGATGCGGTCGGAACTCAGGGGCGATGTCTGTGGGTTTTGTCTTGAGCCCAGGGTACATGAAGCCCTTGCTGTCGATGGCGTAGTTGTAGTCCACGGGGTTGTCATAAGCCTCTTCTAAAGCAGCAGCAATGCGATCCGCAGGTATGAAAGACTGGACCAGCTCCTGTAGGGCACATAAATGCATTAATTAGATTGCAGATTTGTTAGATTATTGCTTGATGAGAACTCTAAGGTTTATGTGGTGGCTATGGTAATTAAATCAAAGCAGTTGGTGGATTTGAATAATGCAGTAGTGAGTAGTTATATAATTTATAAAATAAATTCACAGTGGAAATCTTTTTTGCATAGATAATAAAATAGTAGATACAATTAATTCAATCTGCTGAAGGGGCTGTGATAATCAATCAACAAATTTTCGTAATGATAAACGCGAGGGGCGTAAATTCTCATAACAAAAATCCTTATGAACCAACCTCAGCATCTTGCAAAGCCTGGAGAGCTTCTTCATGTAGCCGCTGAGCTTTCTCATTATGCCGCATCTTGGAGAGCATCACATACTCAAGCCTCTCATCAACCTCTTTCCTTATCCTGAACAGGAGGAGAGGATCCCAGTTATTAAGAAGTGAGTCATCGTTTTCAAGAAGCGGATCATAGTTATTGATGAGTGGCTGGTATAGTTATTGGTCACTCAATCCCAAGTATCCCTCATGGATGTTAAGAAGTATTATCTATGTAAAAAATCTTAATCTCTTACCTTCATCAGTAATGTTTGGATAATTTTCATGAGAACCTGCACCAAAATCCTAATTTTTGCAGTATGGTCCACTAAATTCTCCACCCGAAAGTAGCTTGCATTTAATTCATTTGTTTACATCCAGCATATATATATTTCAACAGACCTTTATTACTTGGAAGCTGCCAGCCTTTCATTTTGATTATTAGCAACCAATAATCCTATTCAGCGTCAATCCTATTTTATCAATTTTCAATTTTATTGATCCAGCACTTCCTGCATTTTATTCACTTCTATACATGAACCAGATAATATCAGTAAAATAAAATGTATAAAAAAAATTTTTAAAGACCACGTTTTTCATGTGGACTCAATAGTAGAAAATAATTTTTCGGCAGCTACTGATCTCTGTTTGCTTTCATTCTCTTGGTCTTTTGTATTTCAATTAAAATATTTTACAACATCTAAAACAAAAAACGTGGGGCGCATATGTATTTAATTGTTTGGTGATTAGTTGATATGATGAATATGATGGTTCATTGAACATTTGATAAGTGTATTGCTGATATAATTAGAAATAGTGGTTGAATTCAAAATTGAAATTAAGGCATGCCTAAATGAAGATGCGCCCCACGTTTTTCGTTTTAGATGTAAAATATTTTATCTGAAATACAAAAGACCAAGAGAATGAAAGCAAACAGAGATCAGTAGCTGCCGAAAAATTATTTTCTACTATTGAGTCCACATGAAAAACGTGGTCTTTAAAAATTTTTTTTATACATTTTATTTTCTACTTTTTAGTTTTTAAGTATTTTATTTTCTCATTTTTAGTCCGTTGCTACACATGAAACACGTTGTTGCGAGCCAATTTACTTGACTTGATGTACGTATCAATGATACGAAGCGTGTCATCTATATACGCAGTCTAAACATGAATATCCTCTCGAGGATGACGTGCATTAAAGGTTCCAACCCCTGCTTGTGAGTTCCTTTAGAGTTTATACGCCTGGAAACGTGCAACAAATTATTGATTATTGTATTGTTATTGGGAAACGCCTGGAAACGTGCAACAAATTATTGATTATTGTATTGTTATTGGGAGCTGAGCTTCCCTAAAAGTTTCAGAGCGCTAGCTAATGGGAAAATTGGTGAAATATTGATTGCAAGATTTGATCATCACAGACACGAAAGCGAGCTAAGAAAAACGTAGTAAAAACGAACCTTTCTTCTCTGACAGCTGCTAGCCTCTTATTCTCCTTGTTGAGATATTCCATGTTCTCACGGTGCTCCTGCTCTTCTTCATCAGCCTCGCGTATTTCAGCAGCAGCGCTGTCAATGGCCTTGTGGTACAGCTTTTTCAAGTAAATCCTGCACACAAATATCTTTAGACTTAAGGAACTATGGTCATAAGAATGAATTCATTCCAGGAGAAAAGGAGAAGCACTTGATCATTGAATGACAGTTATTATATTTCCATGACTATAGGAATTTTCAAATACTGTAAATGCATTAATTGTCAAATATACTGAAATTTTTCACACTTCTGGGAATCTGCTACATTTAGGCCCAATTATTCTTGAAATAGCCAAGTAAGGATACAATATTGATGAGAACAAAAAGGATTATATACTCAATATACTTGTATTTAAGCTTACATCCTACCTCAAGGATTCATCCTTAAAATTGTTCATTTGATGAAGCCTGCTTATTTCATCCTGCTCGCCTTCCTCCAGTGGATTTTTGAAAGGTACTTTCATCCTTTTATTCAAATTTGGAGGGTCTAGACGCATTTTGCGCCATCTGAAAAATTTGCAAAATTTTTATTAAAGTAATAAAGTTGCCACTTGCATTAATTGAAATTTCAAAGACAAGCATGAAGCAATTCATTTTTTTATATGATGTTCCCAACTTCCCTATCAATTCTCTCCAGGAGATAAATTTTCAATAGAGAGCATAATGCATCAGCATTGTTAAAATTGCAGGCGCAGGGTACGTATTCAAGTTGCATTTGTTAAATAAATATTCTTTAAGAAATTTATAAGAAACTAAGATAGCTCCAGCTAATATAGATACTTAGCCAACTCTACAACAAGGTATGCATACAAGTTTTTTAATACAAATACCAAAAATTTAGTGTATTTTTAGCTCATTTTCTCATTTATAGAAAAAAAAAGTGCTGTTGTGCTCATCATGTCCGTCTGTCAGTGACTTCATGTTTTCGTCAATTTTGAGAAATGCGCTCTATGTCACTCACTTCAGTGAGTACTGATCTATTTTTTTTTTTAAATATGATAGGTAATAAAATAATTATTAGGTTGAATTCACCTACCGGACAATTAGCAGATTTCCAGTGCAATGTTCAAAACTGGTAGAACAAGGATACCAGTTGGTTTGGGCCAGCTTGAGGAATAGATGATTACTTCTAGTCACTAAATTCATTTTTATTGATGCAAAACTTTAGGAATACTCTGTGAAGGAAGTGTGAATGTAAGGAACTTCAAGTTAAAATAATCTTCATCTTCAACCTGAAAACAATAACAAGTCAAGTTAAATGCATGCAAATCTCTATATGCAGTGATATAGGTATACTATTATTCATATGGATATATATTATTTATACCATTAAATATAATATTATAAATATTGTATATTATGAATATATACTATAAATTTTACTGCATGTATGAATATGATTTTTAAAATCTTGCTTTGCTTTATAATGGTATATTTATTAGTCAGTATCTATACAATATCAAAAGTTTCCTACTTAACCCTAATTGCCTTGGGTTTTCATGTCATGCTACAACCTTGGCTGCAATTGATTTCTGCCCTTTATTCTGTCAAGTATTTTTTAGGTTCTTTCCATCAAACATGTGCCATAATTATTTTACCAGGCATTACCAAGGACAAAGAGGTGGATGCAAATGGTGTGCCTTCCTAAGAGGGGATAAGAGGGAAAATGATCTGAGAGTGGATGGGCTGAATGTAGGAGTGTATGTAACTCAGAGAACAAGATTGGCTGAGGCTGTGAAGTAACTCTGGGAAGACATTGGAGGAATGAATGAATTATTTAGGCCAGGCAAAAACGTTGTTTCATTAGAACGTAATGATCTGAGAGGCATAGATGAGGAAATTACAAATGAGGAAGTGAAATGAGTGGTAGAGCAACTGAAGAATAATAAGGCAGCTGGAATGGATGAGATACCATATGAGATGTGTAAGTATGGAGGTTTTAAAAAAAATTTTAATTAATTAAAATTTTTTAATTAATTAAAATTTTTTAAATGTTTTAGTCATTTAGGATTGTTGTGAATACCTATTAATTTGAACTTTTTGTTAACTGCCAAGTGTGATGTGAACTTTTAATTTTTTGACGCTAGTAAAAGAGTTTTTAATGCCATGTGAATGACAAATCTAAAGGTTTTGACCAGAAGTCAGTCAGCATGCACCCAATTCCAATTCCAAATTAATATAGATTGTTCCCTATCAAATGCAGTCTTCAAAATCACAATTGTGAATTCTAATCCATTTTTAAAAATTATGAGAATGAAACGACAAAATTTCTAGTCCCAAGCAGAGCTATTTCTGTGTACAACAATTCTGTCTGCTTGATATTATGGCAATGTTACTGGTGGTGAGGAGACCTTCACATGTGCATGTGCCTGAAAACATGTGCATCTTAATTGCTGGTACATGTGTATCTTCATCACTGGTGCATGTGCATCTTCATCACAGGTTTCTTTACAAGTTTATTTGTTCCAATCGTTTTTTAGCGCACTTTCTCATTTATGGAAAAAATACACTATTGTGCTTGCCATGTCTGTCTGTCCATGACCTCAAGTTTTCATCGATGAGAAAATGCGCTCTCTGTCACTCACTGCAGCGAGTACTGAGCTATATTTTTTGATCTTATTGTCTGCAAGTTCATTGCCTGTCATTGCAAAAACTACATGAAATTAGAGATTTGAGGCTGAGTGCAGTGGAAAGCTAGTACCCCCCACCTCTGTTGCTTGCTGAACATTAATCTCACAAAGCAGTGTGGAATTCTGGAGGGGTATATAATTAACCAGTACACATATCATATTGGGAAGGACTTGATAGTTTAGAAAGCAGGACCAGAAAGCTTGGAAGCCAGAAACTTTCCACTTTATATATATATATATATATCTCCTGATGATATCCCTTTCCAGCTGTGATTGATTGGTGGAATTGTGATGTCATCCCCTTGACCCCTTTCCAGCAGTGATTGGTAGGTGAGATTGTGATGTCATCCCTTTTCCAGCTGTGATTGGCTAATGGGATTGTGATGTCACTTTTCCAACTGTGATTGGTTGTGCCCAAATATGGTATGTGTACTGGTTAACTTAATTATTCAACTAACTTAATAGTTGAATTAAACTTAATCAACAACCACAAAGTTCCTGGAATTTTTTTCTCAAAATCTATTGCATAATTTTTTTTTTGCATAAATCATAAATAAAAATGTCAATCAAACAAGAGACAATTAAACAATTAGATAAAAAATCTGAGATGCTCAACAATTGAAACAGTTTGTCCACTTTTGATCCCCCTTATCCTTAGATCAGGCTGTAAACTAGGGCCTTTCAGCTCAAGAAATCGGCGTCTTTTCAAGCTCTCCATCAGCCACCTCTACCTTAAATTGGCATCTATGGCCGATCATACACTATGACTTAGGTATCCATGACTGATCATAAACTATGGCTTGGGTATCCATGACCGATCATAAACTGTGGATTGCTCAATGCCCCCGATCTCTGCCGCATTTACGTCATGGGGGTACCCTGGCCTGCACGCGGCCGGATACCCGCTCTCTCATGGGTCAGGCCAAATGGCAGAGGCCCCCCCACCCGGATCGTTGCCGGACGGAGGCTCCTCAATTTTTTTTCCTAAGAGTAGGGGAACCTCGGCCTCCCTTTCCCCCTACCCGCATCTTTAGCCACCTATCTCTCCTGGGGCTCCATATGTCCTTCTCTCCTACCATCTTTTCTTCCTGCTCAACCTTCTTCTCCTGACCCAGGGTATCCATCCCAACCCTGGCCCGCACTACTGCTCAGTCTGCTCCCTCCCAGTTACGTGGCGAGGGTATTTGTTCCTGTGCTCCAGGTGCAAAGCCTGGACCCACAAGTGATGCTCCAGACTGCGCTTCATTAGTCTCTACTCCGAAGATTGGATCTGCGCTACGTTGTTGCAGGGGGAGCTGCATTGCTTTTTAGCCCAACCCTTTGGCTTTCATGCTCGTTTATTTAATGTCTGTGCTGTGTTTTCTCATTATGTAACTTATTATGCACTTTTCCTTTGTTTTTCTCTCTAGACTAGACAAGGAAGTAAATTCATTAATGTTAATTAAATTCCAAAGCCAAGCATAATCCCAATGCAAAATACCAATAAATATAACTAATACCTACACAGTATGGGAACCTAAGCTAACTCACCATTTGAGAGGAAGTGAGTGATTATATATTGCATACATTCATTTTATCACTCAATTGATTCAAATGGTTATATTTTTGTGATTTCACTTTGTCGTCTTATTTTCTATTAATTGTGTTCAGTGTGTTCAATTCTGCAAGCTATATATTTTGCTGTTCTATATCTTCAGTAGGCTGTTTACTGCAATATAAGTTTGCTTGATTACTTTTCTGCATCCATAAGCAACACAGTTGCTCTAAGAAGTCATTATTACGGTTCTTGATTATTACCGTTTTCTGCTTGTTAATTTAATGCTTGTTCATATTTAAGCCAATTCTTTATCTTATAGTCCTAGGGCTGTGATGCATAAAATTAATGTTTTACTTTCTTTCATGGCAGATCACATATGCATCTTGTCAATGCTCCTATTCTCGTTAGTTCCATGCTCCTATAGTAGGCCACTCTTCACTCACTTACATGCCACACTCGTGTTCATTTCATCACCAGGAGCCATTTAATTGAACTGTAATTTAAATTGTTTCTTTTGTCAGTAATAAAAGATCAAGTTGAATCTCATCATTATCCACTCTCCAAGTAGGTTGTTGCCAACCTATCAAGTAGAAGTAGGCAACGTGTTTGCCTCACCCACGGAGACACGTGGCAACAACGTGCAGACTGTCTGACCCGATCCCAGCCAGACCCTCCTCCCCCTTGCCCACCCCAACCTACCCCCTCACCCCCGGCCTCCCCCTATGCTGGGCTCCTCCCACCTCTGCATCCTCCAGTTCAACTACAATGGGGTGCAGTCCAGCGCAGTTGAACTGGCTGCCTACCTTGCCAAGAAAGATGTGGCAGTTGCCTGTCTCCAAGAGACTAAGCTATCAGCTGCATCCCGCTCCCCCTCCTTCCCTGGATATGCGCTGGGGCACAGGGACTGCCCTGGGGGCCATGATGGCTGTCTCCTCATCCTGATTTGTCACAATGTCCCGTATACCAGGCAAGACATCTCTCCCCTCCTACGCGGCAACACCACCATGGAGGCTATGGCAATCTCCACTCCTCTCAATGGCTCCCCTCTTTGCATCATCAATGTTTACATCCCACCGGCTTCTTCCTGCCCCCCAGGTTATTCCCCGGAGCTCTCTGACATTGTCTCCATACTGAGCGACTGCCTGATAGTAGGCAATTTTAACGCCCATCACCCCTCTTAGTTCTCCCATACAGAAGACCAGAGAGCAGCAGCACAATGAGTTGTAGTCAACTACCTTGTCACCGGTTCCTCCCTCGCCTACCTCAATGAGGATACCATACCCGCCTCCCCTCCCATGGTCCACCCTCCTCTCTGGACCTCGCCTTCATCAGCAATCCTCTACTCCTCAGCACCTCCTGGACTCCAAGTCCCTCTCAACTCGGACCACATGCCTATTCTGATTCATCTCCCATCTTCTGTTGACGCTCTGACCCCCCAGGCTGCCCGCTCATACATCAACTTTAAGAGAGCTGACTGGCCTGCCTACACAGCAGCCATCAAAGCGGCACTTGGATGGTCCCTCCCTCCACCTTGTGTGGCGGTGAGTCGACCCTGAGAGACCCAGGCAGCACATCCCTGTCAAATTCCATAAGGACTTCTCCTCCTCTGTCAACCTCTGTGTTCAGCGAACAGTAAAGACAAATGTTATTGTTGATTTGGGGTACACATGCATGGACTTTGTAAATAAATTCATGCATTGTAAATAGCTTTTCATGGCCAAGATATGGAATTCACAACTCAAAAAACTGGAATCGTTGCTCAAAGAAATGGAATCACAGCTCAGCGGCTGGCAAATCCATAAAACCACAGCTTGAAAAATTCAGTCGCGGCTTGGCGGGCTTGCCAAGTAGATATATTCCATGTCTGGCCAGTGGCCACTAGCAGCCCATCATACTTCATTGTGATTGTGAACAGGTGAACATAAACAATGTTTTTTCAAATTATACCTGTTCGAAAGAACACTGAACAGTGAACACCATCGCCACATCGTAATGAACATAAACACAGTTTTTCAAGTTAATACTGGTTCAATCATTCTATGTGCCAAACAGCCCAGTGCCGATGGAGCCAATTTTAGTG